AGGAAACTTTTTCATTGAGTACCACTATAAGACATACTTATTGAGAAGCCCTAGGAAATCAGATTGTTGGATTGTGCCTACTGTGGTTAATGTTTGTATTAGCTAATAGATGATATAAAATAATGTTTGCATGAATTTGATTAATAAAGTTTAATTGCAGCATTGGGAAGTGTAAGTCTAATTTGTGTTAGTTAACCTAAATAATGGTAAGCTGATTTTGGGCATGCATCCTAGGTTACAATAGGGACCATTAAAAATTTTTCAGGAATCACACAACAAAGAATCATAAGATTTTGAAGCTAGAAGTGGTAAAAAAATTTTTGTGGATAAAAGCCAGTTTTATAGAAAAGAAAACAGATCTGGAAAGGGTAAGCCACTTACCCAAGGTTATTTATCCAGTTAGTGCCAGAGGTGAGTTTCTTGACTCCCAGTGTAGAACTCCATCTCATTACCTCCCTTTGATGTAAACAATGTTCAGATTGTTCGTCTTTATTTGGGGGGGGGGCAAACTGGAGGAAGTGAGAGTTGTTAGGATGCTATTTAATTTCCTGAGACGTTATGTGAGGAAGGCCTGAATTGGAGTGGCGACTGTGGAAATGGAAAGGAGAGGAGATACAGGAAAATCATAAGGAAATGGTGATTAATTGGCTGTCAGGGGACAGTGAGAGGACAGTGAAACTCTAAGGTTTTTATTTTAGGGAGATGGTTATGGAGGTATTATTGATGGTAATTCAATTTCAATTCAGCAAACGTTTATGGGTAGCTAGCTAATAAAGTCAGGAAGATCTGAATTCAAATCCAGCCTCTAACATTAGCTAGGTGACCCTGGGCAAGTTGCTTAATCTCTATTTGCCTCGGTTTCCTCATTTGCAAAATAGGGATAATAATAGCACCTACTCCCACAGTGCTTGGCACATAGTAAATGCTATATGAAGTTAGGTTTTTTTATTATTATTACTACTACTACTGTCAATGGGAAAATTATGAATGGGTAACTAGGGGAAAATGATGAATTCCATTTTCAAAAGATCTTACTGGGCAAGTCACTTAACCCCAATGACCTCGACAAAAAACAAACAAACAAAAAGAATCTTAGATGTCAGTGAATATATATATGTAGAGCTATCCTCCAAAACAGTGGTCTTCTAAGTGAGGGCTATGGCCTGTCCCCAGGGGATGTGATATCAAGTGATTCCTTAATTAACCATCAATGGGGCTTGTGTCCAACATAAGCATGCTTACTTTCACCTTCTCAATCTAACCTCTCTATCTGCTTTGCAAAGTCCCAATATCCACTTACACCCTTCTGAGCCAGAATCAGGCCCAACAGGGGAGTTATAATGTAATCTGGCCAAACATACAGCAGCAACTGCACAAGTGACATGGGGACAATTATCCCTCTTTTCTTTTTGCCCTGCCCCACACTCCCTTGCTGCCCTCCAGATCACCCCAGGGCTGCAGTAAGGAACTCTCAGAAGTTGAACTTTGCACCTTAGGACAGTGGTGGGTAAGAGCCCTGGCCCTTCTCATTTTGTGTAGGACAAGGAGCCTCATAGAACCAGCAGGCACCGTTGGATTGTGATGTGCATCTCAGATCTTGTTACATTATCTCCCGCCAGTCAAACCCACCTTTCTTCTGAACTTCCCCATTTTATTGGAGGACATCTCCATCCGTAGAATTTCCTAGGTTTACAACCTCAGTGTAATTTTCAACTCCTTGCTCTCCCTCATGCCACATATCCAATCAGCTGCTAAATCATGTCATTTCTTCTTCCACAACTTCTTTTGCATCTGACCTTTCTCTCCATTCGTACAGTCACCACCCTAATTCAAGGCTTTATCACCTGGACTATTTCAGTAGTCTCCTAATTGGATGCCTCAGTTTATCCTCTATATAGCTTCCAAAGTCACCTTCTAAAGCCCAACTCTGACCACAAAATTACCCTAAAGGGTAAGCTCCAGTGGCTTCCTAAGGACTCTAAAATCAAATATTATTTCACCTTTGTCTCATTCATTTAAAATAGCTATTTGTTGTATAAGTTTTATAATGTACATTATTATACAGCATGGCACATGTGCATATTTAGAATTTAATAGTAAAATATGCACTATATATAACATGAAATATTTAGAAATTATTTCTATTGTATAATAATTGTGTGTATTATATTTACAATATTATTCTATATTATAATATAACATAAACAATGTGCTATGCCTACATTATAACTATATCTGAGGTAAATATGTAATATATAAAATATTATATTTTATATATTACTTAATATATTTACATTATTTCTAAATTGGTAAACATACACATTTGTGGTGTTTGCTTTTTTTTTTTAACTGATAGTAGTAGAAGATCAAAAAAGTTTGGACACCATTTCTCCAAACAACTTAGAGAAGGTGAAAGGGCATAGTAAATGTAGATTTGAGAGTTACTGGGTTGTAATTGAAAGCAGGTGAAGAGGAGAATTTCCCAAAAGAATAAGTGTATAGGGAGAAGCACAGTGAGAATGACTGAGTTTTGGTTAATGATTACTTTGTGAAATGGGAGAAGAAATATCAATGATGGAGTGAGACAAGAGAGAGAGAGAGAGAGAGACAGACAGACAGACAGACAGACAGAGAAACAGAGAGACAGAGACAGAGACAGAGATAGGGAGACAGAGAGAGACAGAGAGAGACAGAGACAGAGACAGAGAGAGACAGAGACAGAGAGACAGAAAGAGACAGAAAGAGACAGAGAGAGGAGAATCGGGACAAGCTTGAAACAATCACTATTAGTTACTAGACTAATGATAGAGAAGACATTGAATTTGGAGTGTACCAAGCAATGCCTGATTCAGCATTGTGAGTGGCATACTGTTACAATAATATCGTTTGGTACTAACTGCCAAACACTGGTTGGATGAAGACGATGCTGAGATTAAGAGGCTGCTTGTAATAAAGTAAGCAACCACTCCAGAGAATGCTGTCCTATACTTGCTTCTCAATAACATCAGCATGTGCCAGCTGAGGCCTGGCCTGGCCTTTCTACCAACCTTTGCTGCATCAGACCAGCTATAATAGATGGTTTTAATTCAGTTTCTAGAATAAAAAAGTATTCATATCAGAAAGACCACCCCATGCATTCATATGTAGTAGAAAGGTCAGCCTATGGTCAAAAATAATGAATAGTTTCTCTGTTATTAGACTAGGCCTGTTTGGAGTGTATTGGATGATGGGCCAGTTCAGCATTAGGTACTATTTTGTCACAGCAAAGCCCTTCAGATCCACCGCCAGACAATGATGTAATCAATAAGATATCATTGTTTAGATGTTGGGTGAATCTATGGTTTCTCTTAGAAAAGGATACCAGTGATTATTTACTGGTTTTCCAAACACTGTCTAGAGAGGGAAAGACTTAAATGGGATGCTGACATTTTGAGTGTCTTTGGGGTAAAATCTCTTTCCTAATAAAGTGGTATCTAATCTATTTAGATCGCTAAATTAATATAAACAAAATAAATAAAAATATAAAATAAAAACAGCTTAAAAGTAGTCAAAGATACTGGCAATAAGATGTGCTGCAAACAACACATGAAACAACAACAAAAAACCCTAAACCAAAAAAATTATATGGTGACAATATCTCATCATTGCACTGGAGACTCACAGTTGCAACTAATAATGCTAAATAGAGAATGAATAAAATTCTGCTGATTCTGTATAACAGCCCACCAGAGACATAGCATTCAATCCTGAACCCTCATTTTACAGAAGAGGAGACTGAGGCATGGAAAGTGACTTCCCCGGTTCAGTAAATGTTTGAAGCAGAATTTGAATTGAAGTCTTCTTAACTCCAAATTTGGCACTCTAAAGAAAGAGGTTGAAATAGATCAGAGATTCTTAACCTGGAGTCTGTGAATTTAAAAAAAAGGGCAACTATTTCATTATAATTGTTTTTCTTCGTAGTCCTGTGTATTTTATTTTATGCATTTAAAGATATTTTATTTTGATAAGGAATCTATAGGCTTTACTAGATTGCCAAAGGGTTCCATGATACAAAAAAGGTTAAGTACACTGAACTAGGTGATCTCTAAGGTGAGAGAGTTCCAGATTTCTCTAATATACTTTATATGTTGTCATTTGTCCTTTGTTCTTGAAAAGGACCAATGACATCACAGAGTGATATTTTGCCTTTGTGTGAACTGAACTTAAGTGAGCCAGAGCTTCAAAAAGTCACCAGCTTCACTCTCTCCTCTAGAGTGATTGGACTCCAGTGACAAGACAAAAGTCAAGATGACTGACAATGACTACAGTGGATGACCTTGGACTTTATATGGATGAGAACCAAAGGCACCATCCAATCTCTCTGACCCTTTTCCTTCACCTCCCAGGCTTCTGGCCTTTCACAGTGGGTTGGCTGTGTTTCTTCTTCATAAATGTTGAGTTGAATATACACTCAGATATTTTGATAACTGTATTTCAATGTTGATGTTTTCCTTTGCAATCCTATGGATTTCACCTTATCCATTTGAAAACATTATTCTGAAAGAAGGGGTTCATAGTTTTCACCAAATGGTCTAAGGGCTCCGTGACATACAAAAAAGGTTAAGAACCCTTGATTTACGATAAGAAACAACACAGACAGTGCAAGAAATGTGTGGGATGCAGGAAAATGTAGGTTTAAAGTGAGTCCATGGCCAAAAACCAGGGCACAAGTAGTTTTATTCTTAATGTTTAACCAGGGATTGATAGTAAGGAAATGTAAAATGTAAGGATAGGTAAAAAGGTATAATTGACTGATCACTTAATAATTTAACCAAATGATGTCTCTGGTGCACATTTTTTTTTTTTACTTAAGAGCATATCAAGTTTCCACAGGAAGAGTTTCTTCTGTGATTTTTAAAATTTTTTATTTAATATTTTAAAAATTAATATAGAAGTTAAAGTTGGTTTTTCTTTGCCATATCATTTAGATTTACCCAAGAAGCACCTTTTGTCAACCTCCCCTTCATCCCAATAAAAAATTTATGCAACTCAAACTTTTCCAACACAGCATTTGGAAAACCATTTAGAATTTTATTAAGAATGTATAACATTGTACAGGTATTCAAATACTGGTATGATACATAAATACCTTACTGAAAGGACAACACCTTTAAATATATTGACTGCTTTGTCTGTTAAATAGACAGGAACTTGTGAATGTATCTATTGTACAGAATTTCTCATTCAACAGAATTCACTGTATCCACATCAGCAAAGCAGCGTGAACATGGGCTTTTGGCAAGGATGAGGAAGTAGCCTTGTTATATAGAACTGGATGTCATAATGATTTCCTAAAACAAAACAAAACAAAAGAAGACAAACAAAAAAACCCCACACCAAACCCACCAAACCTTATTTTATTCATAACTCTTAAACTTTATGCTACATTTAAATCCAAAGTCCTTTCGTGTATTTTGACTTAACTGGAATGTGTATATATGCCCGTGGTGTGTGAATATTTCATGTCTGTTAGAATTTCTTTTTGTTTAGGATTTGACAGGATAGATAGATTTTAAAATAATTAAAATCTGCATTTTAATTTTGGTTGATCCTGTATGTGAAATTTGAATATAATTATTGTATGTGATACCAATTACTTTGTTTAACATCACATTAAGATACATGGCAGAAAGAGTCCTGGATAAGGAGTCAGAAGCCCTAGGTTATAGGCCAAGGTTTGCATCTAAGTAGCCATGTGATCAAAAACAAGTCCCTTAACCACTGTTGGCCGCAGCTTCTACATCTTTAAAAGGGGTTGGATTAGCTGATCTTTTAAATCTCTTCCTGCTCTAATGTTCTTTGAATCTTAAATAAAGGCCTCTTGAATTCATTATGATTTTATGAGATGAAATACAAACTGTTACTTCATTTTGGAACCAAGGATCCTAACATTTAAAAAAAATTTACAACTCCCTGAATCAGTAACATCCTGTTTTCTTAATCTTAAAACATATTAGCCTGTAGAGTTTAAACAATATCTAATCTGAGACCAGTCTTGAATTTTACAGTTTTGAGAAATGAAAATTAACTTTCATGCCTTTTTCTCAGCTTCTGGAAAATAAAATATTCCTAATGATGTTTACTGCACTTTTTTGATGCCCCAAATTGGTGAAGATAGAACACGAAATAGACAAGTAAGGAAGCTATCAGAACTTTACCATAAACTTTTAAAAGACTTCAGGTCAGGGAATATGGGAGATGAGTAAGACCACGGTGGCCCTTCCTCCTTGGAAATTGTTCATCTTTTTAATAAAATGCAAGTGATGAAGTCAAAAATATGAGTTCTTCCAGATCCTATTTAATAAACCTTAAACTTACTAAAAACAAACTAAGATGAGAAATAAATTCTAAACACAAACGTTCCACATTGGGGTGGCAGGAAACCCCTCAATTTTATTGATCTGTTAATAAAGTAAATTTGCCTATTTAAAAATATGGAGATGATAAGGAAAAAAAAGTATTTTATTTCTACTAGAAACAAAACTTAAATCCCCCCCAACACCATTTCTGCAGAAGCTGGTGGGTTTCTTCCTCCTGCCGTTTCTAAGAACAATTCCAAGAAAAGAAATCCTTTGAGACATCAGCCTCTGATGAGCTCAGAAACATCCGTGATCTCATTCTGCAATAAGGGATGATTGACCAGCTATTAGATCAAGTAGCAAATCAGGAACACAAATCTGAAGAAATTATTAGATATCGATTTCTTATAGGAAACTAACTGTTCAAGCACATAAAAACAAATCCCTCTCCCCTTGCTTTTTGGGAAGGAGACTGGAGATGAACATGCAAAAGTGTAAATTTCTAGTGGGGCATATATGGGGGAAGAGTACCCATTTAGCAATGGGAAATCACAACTTTCACTGCAGTTTCCCTGTGAGATGTCAACAATAGGGATTCTGACTTTGAAAATCCCCATTTTCCAATTAAATGATTGGAAAGTCCAAGTGTCAGACTAGTTACAAGCTGCTGTTAGTCAGCTTCATGACCCAGAGCCTGCTTGACCCCACGGATCCTGTGTCTCAGCTCAGCAAGAGCTCTTTTTGAATCTCCTGGGTGTTACTGTGAAAATATCACAGTTTAATCCCTCTTTACTGCGGTTTAATTAGGATCTCCTTCAAACTGAAAGTTGATCTCTCGCGGACCCTTTCCCAGCGGAACTGGTGAAACAACGCTGCCCCAAGTCCTGGGCTTGGGGTCACAAGCTAGCGTGGAGAACAAAGTTTCGACTCCTGTATTAATTAGGTCTTCAGGGACACTTAACCCTCCTCTTCACTCCGCCTTCTCCCACTCTGCACCCCCGCCCCTCATGCCACGCGCAGCTTTGTTCTGTTCCTGATACACTTCTATACGAAATGGTCATCCTTGTGATTTCCAGTTAGGTCATTCAGAGTCGAAAGTTTCAGCTCTCCAAATCTCGGTTCTTTGATTTACAATCCAAAATTGTAAGGCCAGCAGGAGGAGCGAGAGGGGCGAGGACAAGCGGGTTGGTGTGGAAGGAAAGGATTGTGTCTGCGCTCTATTCCTGTATCTATGAGCTACGGTAATATTATGTTGAGAACTGGGCACGGATGGCCGGGCATGTCCAATTATACCAGTGACTAAACGTATTTACTTGCCTGGCCTGCTGCTCTAATCCCGTCGGGTCTGATTTAATCCCTCACCCGGAGCAGGGGTAAAAGATCACCCAGTATCCCCCACCCCAGGAGCCAGTTGTCCCCAGCCCTTGTGTACGTGTGTGAGTGTTTTCGGGCGTGTGTACCTTCTGAACGTGGACCACCTGCAGGTGAAAACTCTAGGAACTGGGCTGAGAGGGGCTAGGGTCCGACGGAGAGGAGAGCCCTCCACTTCCATATCCCATTTAATTCCACCGCGTCTGCATATCTGTCGTTGCTTTTTGCCTCGGCCTGTCAGAGTTCGAAGACACGTCTGATTGGGAGATAGGGGCAGCCGGGGGACACAGCAGCTCCTTTGATTCAGGTGATGGTGCGGCGCCACAGCTGTCCTTGGTGGGCAGTCTGGGACTCCCTCCTAAAGGTTGCATTTCTAAAACGTTTTTCTGCTCCAGCAGCCCCCCAACCCCTCGAAACTGGACGGCTCCAAGTTCGGTGGATTCCACCTTCTTATCTCCTGTGGGCAGTCTGAGCTACGGGAAGCCTTTCCTAGCCGGGCATGGATCACCTGTGCTAGGAGAGGGGGAGGGTGGCCACTTTCAGACATATGAAAGATGAAAGCGATCCGGACTTTGAAGGACGCTTGCCAATTCCAGTAATCGATAGTGGGGGCTGCTACTCGGGTGACTTGAGTCTGAGCTGGTTTGTTTGCGCGGGATGCGTTTGGGGGTGTGGGACTTGTTCTTAGTTTACCCTTTCTCCCAGCCTCCTCCCCTTTGCATGATGAACCATGAGTTACTTTCTGTCCTACTGCAAAGCTCACGGAGGCGCCATCCTCACCCACTACCAGGCCCTGCGCGACGAGGGCTTCCTGTGCGACGTGAAGCTGGAGGCTGACGGCAGCGAGTTCCCTGCGCACAGGTCGCTCCTGGCGTGCTCCAGCGACTACTTTAAAGCTCTATTCAAGAGCTACACGCAGGAGTCTCGGGCCCCAGTCATTCACCTGCAGGTGCCATCGGCCACCGGCCTTCAGCGCCTCCTGGACTTTATCTACACTGCCTGGCTGCCCCTGTCTATGGACACGCTGGAAGACACGCTGGAAGCCGCCAGCTACCTGCAGGTGAGCGAGGCCGTGGGCTTGTGCAGCCGCTACTTGGTGCGTCACCTGGGCCTGGAGAACTGTTGCTTCGTGGCCAACCTCGCCACCCGCTTTGGCCTGGCCGACGCGCAGTCAGCGGCCGAAAGCTTCATCCGGCGCCACATGAGAGAGCTGATGGACAGGGGCCCCGAGGCGGCGGGGCTTCTGGAGCTCAACCCGGGTTCGCTTAAGGTGGTGCTGGCCTCCCCAGATGTGCCGTACGTGGCCGAGGCCCGGTTACTGAGCCTGGCCCTGGGCTGGTTGTTGCGGGATCCAGAGGCCGAACGCCTTCCGCACTGCTCCAGTCTTCTGGAACGCATCCGCTTCGGCCTGGTGCCCCCCGAGGTGCTTCGTCGGGTGTATTCGGGCTCGGGCCTCAGCCTTCCCACCCGAGTGAAGGGCCTAATAATTCAGGCTATCAGCTACCACACAGCCACCTCCCGCCAGCCCCTAATGCAGAGCGAGCAGACGAGCTGCAGGAGCCCCCAAACTCGCATCTTACTGGTCGGCGGGCGCCGGGCCAAGGAGGCAGTGACTCAAGGTGCTGAAGATGCTCAAATCCCTCGAGAAGAGGACAGAGGCGATGTCGACGAAGCTGCAGGTGAACAAGCTGAACAGGAGGTGCAACCTGAGGAAGTAGATGAGTGGGAACTGACCCAAGATGTGGTCTCTTTCGACGTGTACAACCACCGCTGGCGCAGCCTCACCAGACTGCCCACCCCGTTGCAGGGACACTGTGTGTGCACTATAGGCAACTTCCTTTACGTGCTGGGAGGGGAGAGTCCAGCAGGCAGTCCAGCTTCTGTTTCTCCAACAGTTCCACTGGAGGTCACGGCCCAAGTGCACCGCTATGACGCGCAGTTCCACGTGTGGGCTCCTATGCCTGCCATGCAAAAGGCCCGGGCTCACTTCTGGTGCGGCGCTGTGGGCGACAACCTCTTAGCTGTCGGGGGTGTGGGTGCAGGCGGGGCTGCCCTGGCCTCTGTAGAGATATACGACTTGGTCCGAGACCGCTGGACAGCGGCCAAGGAGTTGCCGCAAGCAGTGTATGGTCACGCCGGGGCGGTAGGGGCCTGTGGCACAGTGTATATATCCGGGGGCAAGCTCGGAGGGCTGCCGGAGGATGGAGGCTTGGAACGGGGTGGCAGCATCCGGGATGTGTACTCCCTCAGCCCACAGGAGAGGGTGTGGAGTAAAAGGGCACCGATGAGCATCGCCCGCTTTGGACACCACATGGCTACGCTGCGCGGCGCGGTGTTTGCTTTTCTGGGGCGCTATGAGCTCTTTTCAGAGATTGAGCGCTACGATCCCGGGGCAGATCAGTGGACTCGTTTGCGGCCCCTGCTCTATGACCGCTTCTGCTATGGGCTAGCCGTGGTAGAAGAGACTGCTCTTCTGCTAGGTGGGTTAAAGTGGCAAGATTCCAGACAAGTGCCCACTCGCAACGTGGTAGGCTACGATTTGGACCTCGACTGCTGGGAGGACATTGGTTGCGACATGCCCCAGGCTTGGAGCGGCCTGAAGTGCGCGGTGTTGCAATTATCAGAAGAGGAAGAGGAAAGGGTGGAAAAGATAAAGAAAGTGGAAACAGTCTGAGATGCATTAAATCATGCTCCTCTCATTTCAGGACGCAGTTATAATGACTCAGTTATGAAAATGGATGTTCCTGACTAGTACACTGTCCCCAAAATGATATTCTTTCTCTTCCAACGTATCTTTAAACCCTATGAGATTGCAGGGACAAGCACACAGAACGAAGTACTAAATTGAAGACAATTTGGCAGAATGGGAGTAAAGGAGAAGACAGAGAAGAAGAAAGATATGGTTTAGCTCCAGCAGTCTGATTTCTTGGAGGAATATAACTGGGTTAGGTAGTTACCTTCTTTTATTTTTTTTTAAACCTATCACATAAAATTGAGTTTTACCAGGCATTAAATGGAAATCATCTTTGTGCCAAAGCCAAAGAAACAAAATAAAAAGCGAAGTCACTCAAGTGTTGGAAAATGTTAACAATAATGGACTCTAGAGGATGGTATTATTCTAGTAAATAGTTGAGTGAGACAGTCCTCACTAAATAGTATAAAATTGCTGGAAGGAGAACTGTGATTTTCCATATCATAGCTATAATTGTTGTTATACCCTATTTAATTCTTAGGCAAATATTGAACTGAGAGACAAAATCTTTGGGAAAGTAACTTTTATGGCATGGCTGTTGGGTAAGGTTTTTGTTTTTAAAATTTTCTGGCATGGTTTTGGATAGAATTTAGTATCACTGAAGTATGAATAACTAGTGTTCACAATGAAGAGAGTTAAGATGGGGGGGTCTGACACTAAATAAAATATTTTCTGCATCCATTTTCTTTAAGTGAAAGCTCTCCAGATATGCCCCATGTTCTTTTCTTGTAAAAAAAAAAAAAAAAAGGACTTATTTTCCCTTCTTTAACACCTCCTCCCCTCATCCTGGGGAGAAGGGAGTTACATGATGGAATACATAGAAAGGTGAAGGTTTATTTTTGTGCAAAATGAACTGGGAAATCCAGTTTTTAAAGGTCTCAGAAAGAATGTTTGTTTAAACTTAACAGGCTTAGGCCACCCACAGCATAACATTTAGAACACTTAATATAGCAGGATGACTACATGACTAAGTTACAAGGGTATGAAATGCGTAAAAGTTTTATATTAATAAATTAAGTGCTTTATAAGTATTCCTTTGAAAGCTGCATTTGTTCTGACTTTTCTCTACAGTTCTTTCTCTTCCCTTATAGGCTCCCTGTTAATACAGCATCTGCAGTAGGTGCTTAATAAGTGTTTGTAGAAATGAATAGTCAGACCAGCACTTGAAATACTGTTCAAGAAGGCATCACAATGAATGGTGTAAATGCACACTTTCATGCCAGGCTATCCATGAGTGTTTTAAATGTATAAAGGATTAATTTATTTTTTATTTGCTAACCAAAGTAAAGTTTAGGCAGATAAACTGTTGCATAGCAACAGACCTAGGCCTTTCCTTTAATTGCCTGGTGGCCTCATGATTTCACCTGTCCTATGTGCATTATCCATCCATTGCTGTCAAATATTTTTTATGGTTATATTTACATGTTTTTGGTCCTTTAAACAACAACAGGGCTTTAAATGCTTGTTAGAAGAGCACACTTCATTTCAGGACAAGCTTTTTTTTTTTTTTTAAACTAAATGTACAAATCCACAAATTTAATGTGTCAGTTTCAGTACTCATGCAGTAAGTAATTTTTTTTTTTTACAAATAGATTTTTTTAAATGGCAAAAATAATACACTGGACCTCAAATCCTATTTCATATGAACATTAATATGTGATTCCTCATCCATTTTGATTACATATAGAAGTACCGAAAATGGGCTGCAGAAAGGCCACTTTCCCTGTACAATTGTGCAAAGTCTGCAAAACAATAGCAATTCAAATGTAGTTTTTAAAGCAAATAAAAGAAGGCTCCCCTGTGCAGCTTTCACTTCCTCTTCCACAGCGAGGATAATCACTCGAAAGTATCTGAGCTCTTCAAGATTAAAGTACATTCACTGAGCTTAACAGGCTACAGTAATAAAGCTGATTAAAAGTAGGTCTCAAGATAGACAGTCATGGGGAGGGGGTGACCCCTCCTCTAAAAATATCAAATTGTGACTTTTAAATTATGCAGCCAGACACTGAGAAGCAGCACAATCATCATCATGCTGAGATCACTTTCAAAAACAAGCTAATAATTATAAATATATGAAGAGGAGTTTTCCCCACATACACACTCCATTTAATAGAACAGTTCAAGAATATAAGAAAAATGTCCATTGTTTTCTCACACATATAACTCACTGTAACATTTCTGAATAGACAGTACCCTTTTGCCTCACACAGAGTACATATTAGATATTTTTCCTCAATATTCCCCAAATGTTTAATATATCCAAACTTTAACTTATCAGTTATTTTTGCTTCCTTGTCTCTAAATGTAATTGCTTAGTTTAATTCATAGATGAGGAAAATAAGTAAGCTAACTGTGAAATTCATTTATTGAACTTACACTTGGTGACTTTTTTTTGAATTGCAGTTCCAAAATATGAGGTTGGTGTTTTTTTGTGTAGCTGCCTTATTGGGTGAGTTAAATCTGTTTTAAAAAAATCAATACTAAAATTCCTATACACTCTCACAACATCCCATCACTAGAAAAATAAAGAAAGATTTAAACCAAGAAAAAATAAAGCAGCTATCTCTTTGATTTTGGTTTTTTTTTTCTTACAAAAAGAAAACAACCTTACAAAGCTTTCCCCTGATATACCATTTAGTGTTCCCATAGATTTATAATAATAATATTTTCATTATCTAGCTTTCAAAAGTTAATTAACTATTAAGACATGGATATCTGATACCTGAACTTTTCTTATAGCAATGATTTTCTATTCTGCTTAGCTCTCTTTTGTACTAACCTACATTTCACAAAAATAAAACTACAGCATTAAACTTTGTGCAGTGTTTAAGAAAATTCTTAGCACATTTTAATAAATATAAAAGATTTGTGTTCTTTCCCACAAGATGTCTGCATCTGAAAAATGTGATTCAGTTCTAAAGTTTTGTTTCATATAAAATTAACTTAAAGGGACAGTAAAGGTCCAATAGTAAACTGTCTTCAGGATTTACTACTTGAGGTCTTTCTGTCTCCACAGCTATTTGCAAAAATTAATTTTAAATTTTTAAAGACAGTTTATTTTGCACAAGGTAAACACAAGCCGAGCACTGGTCGCATATAAAATATACAAATGTTCATTAAAGACAGTGATGTCATGAGATTTACTTCATATAGTTCAGCAACATTAAAATATAATTTACCAAGTTTCCCACACATGAATATAAAAACTACCTTATGCACTTGTTCAAAGGACAGGAGGGTGCCAGATGGTATGAAGACAAGACGATTACACATGTGTTTCAATGTATGAATGGGTATGCACTAGAGAGGATATAAGTACATCTACTTCAGAAGAAACATTTAATGGGTCATTTGGGGTGCTTTTTTGACAGATATCCAAGAAGAGGTCAAGGTACATTTCTTTCCACTCTTGAAAGTCTTTAGATGTCAAATCTGGATTGTCTAGAACTTTATCTATAATGGCCACTTCTCCTTCTCTAGCCTGAAAGAAAAAAAAGCATAGTTAATACTATATTCCATTGAAAACTTCAGGTTAATGTCAGGTCAAAGTTCTTCTATTACCTCCATTGTGATAATTAAATAGTTTCCCTTCCCATATGGGTAAGTCTGATCTACTTCCTACTACTTTGTTTCTTAATCCGAGTCATCAAAACAAGTCGTGCCTATATTACCATCTTCTGAACTGGTCCTTATTCTAATAAATTCTACTTCTCTACAGGTCCACTCCAACCCAGTTTGCCTGTCTTCTAGGCTATTTCCTCTATGCCTATTAGCAGTTACTCTTGGGGGGAATTGACTCCAACCTCCTTCACCCACTTTAGCCATATACCTTAAACCTCACTCACCATCTCTCAAAATTGTTCTATATTGAAGATCTTGAATTTTGAAATCCTGCTCTGCAACCACAATCTCTTATCTTTCCACTGATCTCAGTATTTCCAATCACACTAACAAACTTCAATGGTTTCCTATTATCTCCTGGATCAAATATAAAATCCCCTGTTTGGCTTAGCCCTTCATCTTCTGGCCTCTTCCTTCCTTTCCAGTTTTCTTATAGTTTACTCCTTTCCATGTATTCTGCAATCTAGTGATTCTGGTGCCTCTCCTGTTTCTTGCACACAGACACTCCGTCTTCTAACTGTTGAGTATTTTCAGTGGCTGCCCCCCCATTCCTAGTATGTTCTCCCTCCTCCTCTCTGCCTCCTAGCTTCTGTTGAATTTCAGTCAAAGTTCCACCTTCTTCAAGAAGGTTTTCCCAGTGCTCCTTAATTTTAGTGTCTTCCCTCTGAGACTACCCTCAATTTAACACACCTCTATCTCTATCTCTCTGGGCAGCTAGGAACGCGTATAGGTTTGAGAGCCTGGGGGAAGCTAGGTGGGCACAGTGGATAGAGTGCCAGGCCTGAAGTCAAGAAGACTTATCTTTGTAAGTCCAAATCTGGCCTCAGACACTTACTAGCTGTGTGACGGGAAAGTTACTTAACCCTGTTTGCCTCAATTTCCTCATCTATCAAATGAGCTGGAGAAGAAAATGACAAACCACTCTAGTATCTTTGCCAAGAAAATCTCACAGACAGTATTGGCATGCTATGGTCCTCAGGGTCATGAAGAGTCAGACACAACTGAACAACAGCACAAGCTGCTAAGTGGTGCTAGAGAAATTTATAAAAGTAAGCTCATTTTACCTAATAACAATTTATTGTTCTAGTCCTTCGGAATTGCTTTTCAGTACCATGTACTATTATTGACTCATTATATTCTTCATAACGACTGCTTCAAATAATTACTTCTTTCCTTAAACTCTCAAATGTGTTTAGTTGTATCTGACTTTTTGTGATCAAACATATATTCATTATTCATGATTGTGGCAGATGACTTAGCTTTCTATTTCCTTAAGACTGAAGCCATCTAATATATATTAACAAAAGTCCTACACTCCAAGTATTAAAATTCAGCATCACCACTCTCTCTTGTCTCTTTCTGTCTATCAGAGAGGAAGTATCCCTACCCCTCCCTGAAGCTAATTTCTACAACCTTGCTCATTATCCCTCATTACTTTCCATCTGGCCTATTGTAGTAGCCTCCTAACATGACTGCCTGCCTGTACCTCCAATTAATCATTTAGACCACTGCTAGACTCATTTGTTTTATGTATAGATCTAGTTATGCCATTCCCTTACTCAAAAAAATCTTCAGAGTTACTTGACTAAGGCAAAATACAAACTCTGGACCTAGAGTCGGTCTGGGTCTCAGCCACTTACTAGCTGTGAGACCCTGGGAAAGTCACTTAACCTCTGTCTGTCACAGTTTCCTCTCCTGAAAATGGGGATAATAATAGCACTTACCTCTCTGGGTTGTTGTGTGGATCAAGTGAAATAATATTTGTAAAGCATTTTGCAAACCTTGAAGCACTATATAAAAACAATTATTTTTATTCTTATTCCTTAAGCAACTCACTCTCATAATTATAGCACATAGAATATTTATCTTAGGAAATTAAAACACTTAGAAAAAGCAGGCTCTGTATTTTCTACAAATTTTTGTATTACTTCCTGTTTCTTACCTACAGTTAAGTCACAAAGGATTTGCCATCTATTTGAGATTTTAATGAAAGGTTAGGATGATATTTTCTCCTCCCAATACAATTATTATACTAAGAATGGCAGGACCATGCTTTTCTTTTCCCACTCTTCACAATGGTTTCCCATGCCCCCAAAACAAAGTCAAAGTCAAAAAATGAAAACATCTTATTTTGAATTTTTTACACCATGCTAGAACAATTCATTTCTAGTTCAAAAACGAACTTTGAAATGGGATTTTTTTCCTCTGCTTGCACATCCTACCTTTAAAGTGCTTTTAAGAATTCGCAGCCTATGCAGTTTTTCATTCACTATTGGATCACTACATCTTTTTATGAAAGATTTCTTGTATTCCAGCCTGGTTGAAATTCGGTGTTCCCCCAGAGGTGACAAACTGGCTCTCTCCAATGCCTTGTATAAATCTTGCAATGAGTCAGCTAGGTTTTCTTCTCCTATTTCATCTGCAATATCCAAAAAAGAAAATGAAGAAAACATTAGCTGTTATTTGATACATTAAGCCAAAATCAAAACCTACTTCTTTGTTTACTTTTAAAATCAAAATGGATCATTTCTGTCTAAATCTGAAAACTAGAACAACAAAATAGATGGAAAACATGTTAATACCATTAACAAAACTGCAAATAACTGGCTAAGTGAGATAAAGAATATTATAGGAAAAGTTTCA